TTATTTTTGTATATGGTGTAAGGGAGTGTTCTAGCTGCATTGATTTACATGCTGCTGTCCAGTTTTCCCAGCACCATTTGCTGAAGAGACTGTCTTTATTCCATTGTATATTCTTGCCTCCTTTGTCAAAGATTAGTTGACTAAAATTTTGTGGGTTCATTTTTGGGTGCTTTATTCTGTTGCATTGGTCCATATGTCTGTTTTTGTACCAATACCATGCTGTCTTGATGACTGTAGCTCTATAGTATTGTCTGAAGTCTGGGAGAGTTATTCCTCCTGACTCTTTCTTTTTCTTCAGTAATGTTTTGGCAATTCTAGGTCTTTTGTGGTTCCATATAAATTTTATTATGATTTGTTCTAGTTCTGTGAAATATGTCCTGGGTAATTTTATAGGGATTAAATTAAATCTGTAGATTGCCTTGGGCAGTATGACCATTTTAACAATATTGATTCTTACAATCCAGGAGCATGGGATATCCTCCCATTTTTTTAAGTCTTCTTTAATTTCTTTAATCAGTGTTTTATAGTTTTCTGTGTATAAGTCTTTCACCTCCTTAGATTTATTCCTAGGTATTTTATTACTTTGGGTGCTATTTTAAAGAGGATTGTTTCTTTACTTTCTTTTCCTATTGATTGATCGTTAATGTAACGAAATGCAACTGATTTTTGAACGTTAATCTTGTAACCTGCTACACTGCTGAATTCTTCAATTATTTCTAGTAGTTTTTGTGTGGACCTTTTAGGGTTTTCTATATATAGTACCATATCATCTGCATACAGTGACACTTTTACATCTTCTTTTCCAAGTTTGGATCCCTTTTATTTCTCTCTCTTGCTTGACTGCTGTGGCTAGGACTTCCAAGACTGTGTTGAATAGGAGTGGTCATAGTGGGCAGCTTTGTCTTGTCCCAGATTTTAGTGGAAAGCTTTTGAGTTTTTCACCATTGAGTACTATGCTGGCTGTAGGTTTGTCATATATAGCTTTTGTTATGTTGAGATATGTTCCCTCTACACCCATTTTGGTGAAAGTTTTTATCATAAATGGGTGTTGAATTTTATCAAATACTTTTCTGCATCTACTGAGATGATCATGTAGTTTTTGTCCTTTCTTTTGTTGATGTGATGTATTACATTGATTGATTTGCGTATGTTGAACTACCCTTGTGTCCCTGGGATGAACCCAACTTGATCATGATATATAATCTATTTTATGTGCTGTTGGATTCTATTTGGTAATATTTTGGTAAGGATTTTTGCATCTATGTTCATCAGTGATATTGGTCTGTAATTCTCTTTTTTGGTGGTGTCTTTGCCTGGTTTTGTATCAGGGTGCTGGTGGCTTCATAGAATGAATTTTGGAGTATTCCCTCTTTTTCAGTCTTCTAGATGAGTTTGAGAAGGACTGGTATG